CCAATCATCCACTCAACTCCAATTAGTGATCCTCATACCCGCACCGACGATCCCGGTCGTCGCGTGCGAACTTCCGCCGCTGCGATCGTCACCCCGCTGACGCAAACTCGACACGGCTTGCCAGGATCCCACAGTCTGTCCTGGCGATCAAGCGCGCAACCGGCCAGCGTACAGTCATCCCGACAGGACTTTTCGACTCGCACCAAACGCATCACCTAGCCACTGCTTCCCGGAAGCTGGCTTGCGAGTGGAAAATGTAAGAGAGATTTTCGGGCACGCTTGTGGAATTTATAGTTGCCAAAAAGAAGATAGACTGGGGGGAAGACAGAGGGGAAATCGAGGTGTAAGAGGAGAAGATTCAGCGAGGGGTGCTCAAGGGAAGCCATGTTGATCCTTCGGAACTCAATGTTCAGCCAATCAGATTCGTCGCGCAACAGGAAGATCCTCTTGTTCAACGCGTCTGATTGGTGAGCGGGGGTAATCGAAGGATCAACCGGGCTTCGTGAGCCAAGGTTAAAGATCGAGAAGGGAAGAGGCGCGGAAAGTAGCGCGATACGAGTCCAAGATTCAGATGATCAAGAAGGGAAAACAGGCTCGCAAAGAGTAGAGAGAGGAAAAAACAGTTGCGATAGGAGAAGAAGAGGAGGGAGAAGGGAGAGAGAAGAGAGCGCGCGGGAAATAAGGAGGAGGAAGCTCGCATGCGCGGCGCCGACAAAAAAAAAAAGTCACGAAAACAGTTACAGCTTGCCTATGTCCTACACCAATTCAAAAATTGAAATCGCCATATCCGCGCGCGACAGTCGACGCGGGAAAAGAAAGTCCTATGCCTATCCGTATTCTCACAAAATTCCTAGAGTTTTTTCCGACGTGACCGAGAACATTCATGCAAAAAAAAAGACACGTCGAGTTTCGCTTATTCCAGAATTCCTAACTGTCGAGCCTGATTCCCAGTGGGCTCGCTAAGGCGCACGTTATTTCCCATGCCTCCAAAATTTTAGGAGAGGCTCAATCCGATTCTCGACTTGGCTGGGGCCATGTACTTGGGGCATGATTAGTCTTCAAATGCTTAACAGAACTG